TTTTTAAATAATTTGAAATTCATAGAACGATAGAAAAAAAATAAAAAATAAAAAAATTGAGATACGTTATGAACTATTAACTGAACATACATAAACGCATTGCAATAATCCAATGTAAGTACTTTCCCTTGCTAAGTAGCCAAAAGCGATACGCTGACTGATTACAAATGATAGAACCGCGTCGAACCTATCCCGTAACTACGAAACGAGACATAGTTATTACGATGAAAGTACAAGCGAGCGCATTCTCTTAAATGCACTATCTATCTTATTAACGCGACACTTTCGGATGTGAGTTTCACCGATTCCCGGGAATATTCTCGAAGCGAGACATGATCTTTTATACAATTACCAGTTTAAAAACATGCATGATGTGTGTAGTCGAATCTATTATTCGTCGAACTCTTTTCTATATGATCGAGTCACACTTCACCGGATTCACGTGTTAACTTTGATCAAGAGCGGCTAACTCGCGATAGGCAACATGTTACCCGTAGGACCGGGCATGTACTGAACGATATTGAATGAAGCTTCGTACGAGAACTGAGGACATATTGGATCCAGAGGTCCGTTTCTCCCTACCTGATGCCACCACCACTGGACAGTTCAAGAAGCTCCTCTCTAATATCGAATACGGTGGGGCACCTTTCTCTGGCTCCGGTGGCTACATACACTCTGTGCGACTAGTATAAGACAGCGTTTCAACCGTTTGCGTGCAGGACATACAGGCATGGTTCAAGACGAGAGGAAAAAAAATAAAAAAAAAAGGTTTGAACACGCAGAGACGTCAGGGAAAGGGAAGCGGGCGAAGTGGTCTCCAACTTTCTTTAAATCCGTCTACCTATCGAAAGGAAAGGAAGATGATTATATTAAACGAGCGTCACTTTTCCGTCGACCTCCAAGGCCTATCGAAACCGAAACCTACCTTTCCTCTAGGAGAAGGCCGTGTCCGAGGCTGGTATGGTATTCACCGAATTATTTGGTGAAAGACTACCTACCTTGATATATGTACATGTGCACACGTACACGTTTATATACTCTTATTATTACTTTCGCTAAAAGTTTAAAGCAATTCCGAGCGATTTCTTACGATCATTTCCTGTGCCTGTGTAACGATCTTTCTTTCACGAATTCGACGATAAGCGAGTTTCCCATTCGCTTTTATCATTTACTAATGATTCTCTGATTCTTAGATTAACTAATTTTACTTTCTTATCTCTTACATGCGTAATAATGATATTTTATTATTATTATTTATATTTAAATTCTATTTAATTTTTCAATATTTTAACTTCAATTAAGAATATTAAAATGAATATATCTATTACTAAATTGAATTAAAATCCATTTGATTATATTTTTTTTTAATTTCTATATATCTTGTTTTAGATTAGCTACGATTACGTGTTTCTTCTTTTCTTAATAGAGACAATCAGAAATTTTCCAACAATTTTATATTGTGATGTGAAAACATCGCGTGCACTCTTTTCCGTAAATCATGTTCAGTTGCTGTGAAAGGTAGAAATCTAGAATGTCAGTTAAATAAGGATGACCTGGTAAAACCCTTAGTTGCAAAAGCTCTGATGATGTAAAGTTCTCATACTTGCGTAACGTGAATTCCAGATTGATCTATCTTACGATTCGTAAGATGGATTTGTTCGAAACAATTCCTCGTAGACTTTTTGATCCTTCTCAATATTCACTTTTGAACTTTAATATTTAACAATCATTCGACAATTTGTCCAGTGAATTTTGGAAAATTAGACGAGAAGTAGAGTCAGAGTACATTGACATTTAACGATTTCGATGGACCAGGTAACCACCGGGATAAGTATTTAGCAAATATTCACGCACCAACGGGATTCGACGTTTCGCTCGTCCTACTTGAAAACTTTCACTTATGTTGGCGTAAGAGGTCCAAACAACGACCAAGAGAATCGAACAAGATGAGCAAAGAATGGTCAGTGATTTCCAATTGTGTAAAGATATATCTTTTATGGATGTTATTCACCTGGAAAAAAAATTTGTATTTCTGAATTTTTATCGAGAATAAAGTAAAATGCTATTGTTTTTTTTTTTTTTTTTAAATAAAATTTACAAATTAGACGAGATCGTTCAAAATTAATTATTTTGCTTAAAACAAAAACGTATAAACAAAGTAGATGTAAAAAAACAGCTTTATTAGAGTATTTAGTAATAATTGCAACAGCAGCTTGTGAAACAACATTTAAGAAACGATTGCAGGAATCTTAGTTGCTCAGTTTCTCATGAAAGTCTAGGGATATAGAATGGCAGATGATACAGTTCTCCTTCTACAATCGTATATATATAATAGTTCGTGACTATATAGCTCTTGGAGAGCAGTGTGCTCATGAGCAATAACGTAACTGTTGAAGAGTGAAAGTGCCGTAAAGTGGGACATAGCAAGAAGAGCATCTGATCTTTTAATTAATAAATAAAGCAAACAAACAATTCTCATTTCCTTTGTCTTTTGTATTGAAGCGGCGGAAGATATTCGTTGTTTCATAAGATTTTGTGGATGACATATTAAAATTTTATATGACTTTGTGAGAAAATTCTTTCGATTTGATCGTTTCCTGAACTCGTTTGGTGGATATCTTGGTTAGAAATAAAAACTAAATAAATTATCTTTTTGCGTCTGGCAAAGTTTTTCTTATTATCGTTAACTTTCTTTTGAATAAAATTTGTTATATCGGCCATATCATTGGCACCTATGCATATCCTCATAACTACGTTATATAATTAGACAGCATATGCGGGATTAAACAAAAAGAAATAGTCAGCGTCATATTCACTGGACTTTCTATTTTCTTTGTGAAGAGTTAATTTTTAAATTTTATATATATACATATATAAAATATATGTAATTCGATAATTTATAATTAATAAATAAATATTATCACGTTGATTATATATAATTATATATGTATATACAATATCTAATGATAATAAATTGTTAATCGAGAATCAATCAATTACAAATAAACTTTAATATTGATAAATGATATTAATTTAGTAACGTTTTTTTTTATAAGAAAATTAAAACCACGTGGAACGATCAGTTAAATTTACGCGGCTATTTCATTGCAATAATGGCTGCACCTACAGACATTCGGTGCACATGTAAAGTTTGTACCAGAATTCGTGTCACGATTGACCAAATATTTTGTGTTCTAGATCTATATGGTTGGTTATTAAATTCTTATATTGTGGTATGTAAATAATATTAAAAATAAATCTCATACCAGCATGTTGTATTCGAATACCATGTTGTATTTTTTCTGATGTATAGTAATTCGATGTAGATGTGTATTGTCCATTATAAAGTATATTGTTAAGTGATAATTTTATTAAACTATATAGACTGTCTTTTTTAAATATAGGATTTTTTTCAAGACAAATTATGGGACAAATTACCAGAAAGTTGGAGGTTCGCATTACAAGATACGCCTCCACAAGAATTTGGAAAATGGTTATCGGGAGACATCTCGTGGTGAATATTAACACTATGTTGTTCGAACTTAATATGTGTTCCATATAGCATTATATATATGTATAGTTTTTAAATTGTGTTACAGCACACGTGTATGGCCCTTAACATTGCTTGCACTTCGCCAAGTAGCAAATATTTTACAAGTAAATAGAGATAATGAAGATCCAAAAAGTATTATGGCTTGTGAATCTAATAAAACGAAAACCAATAATAATTATAATGATACTCTTACAATGAATAAAAATGATAATTTTGACAAGCTATATTCTCAAAATCACAAATTTAATAACTTATTTTCAAAACATATTAAAAAAAAAAAAAGATATGAGATACATGAAATAGCACAAGTATGCGCAGAATGTGCCTATGAAGCTAGTTGTAAATGTATTGTTGATATTGGATCTGGAATGGGTCATTTAGCTCGTATTTTAGCTTTTCAATATGGATTGTATGTTACTTGTATTGAACAAGATTGTATATTGTTGCAACAAGCTAGGTATATAAATGATTATGATATAATAGTATATATAATTGATGATAATGATGATTTTGTTTCAGAAAATGGGATCAAGAATTATTGATGTCTATAAGAAAGCATATACCTACTTTCTATCAAAAATGTCCTCAACACTTTACAGCTAAACTAGAACCTTCAAATTTAGTCGAATCAGAATTAGTTAGACAATTAAAAGAATTATTTAAGAATGAATTTGATCTAAATGAAACAGAAACTGAATTTGGACTTATAGGACTCCATCCTTGTGGGGATTTAGCTCCTATATTATTAAAGCTTTATTCATCTAGAAATGAAGCCAAATTTATTTGTATTGTAGGATGTTGTTACATGAAATTAACAATACAGTTCGTATATATTATATTTACATCAGAATGGTTTTTATTAAAAATTATTATTATATATTATATTATATAACACATATAGTTAATTTTTAGATCAGAAATAAACGGATTAAAAGGTTATCCACTTAGCAAGTACCTGTTGTGTAAAAATCATTCACTAACTTATACATCATTAGAAGTAGCTTGCCATGCTATCGAGAAATATTGTGATAAATTAAAGAATGGAGATTATGAAGATTTAATAGTTGAGTGAATTAGTAAAAATACATATATTTGAATAAGTATTATTAATTTTTTTGTTTGTTTTAGGTACATACTTATAGAGCAGCTTTAGAAACTATTTTAGTAAAAAAAAATGAAAAATTACGTCATAGCCAATTCAGAAATGTTAAAGTATCAAAAGGAATGTCATTTGAACAGTTAAGTGATTGATATTTGATAAATAAACGTCAAACGTTAAATAGTACGAAACGGAAAAATATATAGAAATATCTTATATTTTTTTTAGGTATTGCAATGCAGCTACTGCAAATTTTGATAGTTATTTGCAACCACAAGATTCTGATATTAATGATTCAGAAATTATTGGTTTTTTAAAACGATGGCAACAAGTTATAGTGTTTGGATCACTTCGAATGATGTTGGCGCCATTAGTGGAAACCATTGTGCTTTATGACAGATTTTTATTTCTGTCGGAAAAAAATTTGACACCAACACTAAAACCAGTGTTCGATAGTAGACTGTCACCACGAAATTTAGTGTTAATGTCTAGGAAAAATAACTAATTAGTTTACAGTTTTTAATTATTTACCGATAAATCCTGCCCACCTCTTCCATCTTTAATCAATGTAAAGATTTTTACAATTGCACTTCCCGCGTCCATGAATCAAAGTCGTTCCAGATCACGATGTGCCTTTGATTGGACAATATCATTTAATTGTTATTGCCAATGAATAATATATTTTAGTTTTCTATTCTTCGATCTACAATCATAACGATTTTTAAAAACTGTACTGGAAAACATTATTATGTTTTATAATTGTTCTTTTGACTCATTATTTAATGATAATTTTACCGTTCGAACGCATGACGCGATCAACGATAGGCGGACCAATCCGGAAGTGGGGCAAATGATAGAAGCGCATGCGCGCGGTTCCGCCTTAAAGATTCGTCAGTATTCGAATCGTAGCGTCGGTAGATAGCGCTGCGGTGGCCGGCTACTTCGTTAGAGGCAGAGACGTTCCTCTCCAGCAACATCGAGATCCAGTTTCCCTTAAGCCGCTCTCGCGCGTTTGTCTGTTCTCGTCGCGTTCGCGTCGTGTCCTACCGATTATTTTCTCCTTCCTCCCCCCTCCCCGCCCGCGCACGAGATCGTCGACACGGTAGAGAGCCGCGCGGTATACACACGGACGTGTCGTCGTAGCACCGAGTGTCCCGCTTTTAAAAGTAATTGCCCGGTGCCGAGTCCCAGGATGGCGTTCAACGGAGACGGACCACACTCCAAGAGGCAGCGACTTGAAGAATCTGGTCACAGGGTGAGTAGTTTATATATTAGATTTGGTTGAGGTATTTTTTCAATGAAACGTCGTTCAATTCTTGTCAGACGATATTTCCGTTATTTAAACGTTCGTATACTCGTTCGATGAACGCGTGCGTTTCGGCGTGTCGCGTGAGATTTACAACCCGTGAGGCGGTCGCGAGCGGAGGGGGGAAAGTCGCCATTTATCCGGTCGCTTTTACCCATATCACCGCCACCGCGTCGAAACAATGGGCGATGCGCGCGCTCTCGAAGGAGATTGTCTCGTGTCGTGGTCGTGTCGTGTATAATACGAAACGCACGTTAGCCTGATACGTGGCTCGTGTTTCGGCAGCAACCTGTTATCTCGTACGTGTGCTCTTTATTCCATTTTATACGATTCGGAATCATTGACGACGCCGTCGCCACCGTCGTGGAAAGGCTTGCCTGTTCTATCGTCG